AACACTGCCTGATCCTGGGCCAACCTCACTATTGTTGCCACACTTGAGTCCATCCATGCCGCCACTTGGCCAATCCATCTCACTGGGGTTCTTCCTCTTTTTCTCTGACCCTCCACCTTACCAAACACAATATCCTTCTCCAACGAGTGGTCCCTCCTGATAATATGTCCAAAGTATGAGAGATGAAGTTTGGTCATCCTGGCCTCCAAGGAGCACTCTGGCTGCATGCCTTCCAACACAGATCTGTTGGTTCTTTTGGTAGCCCATGGCACTTTCAATATTCCCCTCCAACACCATAACTCAAAAGCATCAATTCTTCTACAGTCTTCCTTATTCACTGTCCAGCTTTCGCATGCATATGAAGTTACTGAAAATACCATGGCTTGGGTCACCAACATGTTGTGTCATGGTACTCTTCCAGGTACACTCATGATTGTGACCATCAGGCCACCAAGTGACATCATTGCTAGAAGTCCCATTGGTGAAAGAGTAGAGTAGAGTAAGACAGCCAGAAGTCCATCAATAGGATCCAGAAACAAGCATGATTCGGGCAATGTGCTTAAGCAGAACTCCTCTGACAGCTTGTGACATGATGGCATAGCACATATGAATCTAAACAATAATTACTGTACATACACATCATTAAGGTCTTAAAGACTAGAGGAAAACATAAAGCTAAATGGTAGCTTAATATAGAAGTCTTTGATAAATTTTGCCCACTGATTTATTCTATGGTTCTTCTGATTCTTATTCCGGCATAGGCTGGCTGATCTGTGCCAGGAAATGTGGCTACTGAGCTGATGAATTTCATTTTTAATAATCCCACAACACGTTTGGCAATTCTCTGTTTCTGCAGCAAGTTATTTTTTCTATTACGTGAGATACCTATTTCACAATTTATTTCTTTCTCTTTAAGCTCTGGTAGCGTAGTGGTTACAAATCGGGCTGCGAACCTCAAGGTCAGCGGTTTGAAACTACCAGCTGCTCCGCGGGAGAAAGATGAGGCTTTCTACTCCCGTAAAGATTTGCACCCTCGGAAACCCTGTACAGGGCTGCTATGGGTTGGAACCGACTCGACGGCAGTTAACAACAAGCCTCCCTCAGAATACAAGCTCCCTAATTCTGCCACCATCACCTCCATATCTGTATTCGTCTTCCCCTTTCTTTCCTCCTGTTCCAATGAAGAAAGTTCCTCCTCCATTTGCTAATTCCTCTACTTGTGCCCACCGCATTTCATCTTCTCCACAACTTCACTCCTTTGATGACACACACTAAACCACTTCCATCTAGACAGGCTCTCACCTTCCAAACCCTACTTCCAAGGCTTACGGTGTGGCGATAAAAGATAAGCACTGGACTGTTAACCACAAGGTCGTCCATTCAAACTTACCAGTTGCCCCTTGGCAACCCTATACAGGGTCAGTATGAGTCAGAACCACCTTGATGGCACTTAACAACAACAACAACATCTCACCCTTAATCCTCTTATTGGTTTATTACATCAAATCACATCATGGGGAGTAGCTACATCTCAACTGCCAAATCACTGAGAATCTTGGCCCAGTCAAGATGACAAAAACCTTAACTTTCACACCATCAGACAAATCCAAATCCAAACCACAGTAAGATACTGCTTCACACCCTTTAGGATAGCCATACAAAAAGATAGCTAATACCAAGTGTTGTCAAGGATACAGAGAAACTAGAACCTTCATACACTGCCAGTAGCATGAAAAATGGTGCATTCACTTTGGAAAACAGTCTGTCAGTTCCTCTAAAGGTCCAACATAGAGTTCGGTCATTTTTGTTAAGTGCCTTTGAATCAGTTCTGACTCATAGCAACCTTGTCTAGGGTTTCTGAAGGGTAGCTGGTAGATTGGAACCACCGACCTTGTGATGAGCAGTTCAGTGCTTACCCACACCAGTACTCCATTAGCGTTATCATTGTTGTTGTTAAGTGGTATTTGAGTCCGCCCACAGGCACCTCAGAAGAAAGGCTTAGAGAGCTACTTCCAAAATTCAGGCAATGAAAACCCAATGGAGCACATGGGCTGCCATCAATCACAAGCTGTAATTCAACAGTAATTCGTTCTAGACATTAGAAAAGAGGCAGGGAAGGCAAAGCCCATTCAGGAATACCAAGTCAAGTGTTCACAGCTGAAAGGTGCAGTACAAGGGTAGAGAGAGGTGAGGAGATGGCTGCTAAGGGCAGCAGGCTATCTGTGACCAAGGGTCATACTAATCAGGATTCATCCTGATGAAGATTAAAAGCAAACATGGATGGAGAGTGGCCAGCCAGCCCTGCATTCAATCCCCTTTGCTATTAGACTGATTTTTTTTTTAACTGTTTTACTATGAATTATGTGATTGTTTACATGGGAGAACATTAGCTTTACAATCATCCATAATCCCCTCCATGCATCATCAACCAACCAAAGTGTACACCCTGCAAGCCTGTCCCCCCCATTCCCTCTCCTCTCCCCCCCCACCCCCATTCCCCTCTCCCTCTCTAGGTCTAAAGTCCCCAGCTGCTCCATCTCTCCACGTCATCGTCTCTGTTTCCACCTCTGGCATCCCTGTTGCTCTGAGTAGGGTCCTGCACTCCGCTTTTCTCCTATTAGACTGATTTTTACCCAGCTGAACCAAACACATATGCCTTCAAGGACCTTCATGTGCTGTCTCCATGAATGTGCCTTACCACTTAAAACCTCTTTCTAAAGCCCCAGTGAGGTCCCTGTTCTTCCTTCCACTCCTAGCCCTTGCGGACTATTTCATTTTCACCTCAGACTGACCCCATCCACCCATGTACTGGGCAGTTCCTGTGCAGAGGGACACATTTATGTACGTGGCTCCTGAGTAGCAGCAGAGGGCAGAAGAGACCCACAAATGCTTTGGGCAATCTAGTCCCAGCTAGATCAGAGTAATCCTAGAAGGCCTAGCGCAGGGTTTGTTTACCAAACATTAACATGCGCAGTAAACCGGGGTTCTAGTTAAAATGCAGATTCGAATCCCTAGTTCTGGGTGGGGCCTGCCTTCTGCATTTCTATACCAGATATTAGGTGATGGCTGTGCAGTTTGGTTTGGGGACCACACACTGAGTAGTGAGGGGCTAGAGCAGCACTTTTCACACTATCAAGAGCTGAAAAAGACTTGTTTGTTTGAATTCCCAAGAGCCCTTGGGTGACACAGTTAAGCACTCCACTACTAACTAAAGGAGCTCTGGTAGCGTAGTGGTTACGAATCGGGCTGCGAACCTTAAGGTCAGCGGTTCGAAACTACCAGCCGCTCCGCGGGAGAAAGATGAGGCTT